TGATATCAGCTGCATTGGGGCTGTGCTGTTTCCAATAAGAAGGTTGGCTCTTAGTGTTAATTTACTAAAGGCATTTAAGTGATTACTTTGCAAGGGAATTTTCCTTCAGCTTAATAAATGAGATGAAGCTTTGCTGGCTACCATCATCTAATCATATGCAAGCAAAAAAAATAATGTTTTTTTTTTATTTCCTTGCACATTATTGGATATTCTTTGCAAAATTAATCTTCATTACATTCACTAAGTTTTACAATATACATTCTATGTCATATATATCTGTTCTACATACCCGGTCACCTTTTGGACCTGCTGGACCAGGAGGACCAAGTGGACCATCTGTGCCCTGATAAAAGGAAAAAAAAAATAAGATTGAGTATAACTACCCTATAGGGCACATTTGCTGATAGGTCCTTTCTCTTCCTTTCCGATAGCAGCATAGGAAATAGAAAGATTGAATGAGTGGAAACCTTGTTAGAAGAAATCATGCAAAGGTGACACACTAAATGACAAACAGTATGTTAACACCACAATCCAGGATACATAAAACATGACAAGGTACAAACATGAACCATTTTACAGACCAGAAATTAATAATAAATGGTAATAGGTTCCCTGCTAGCTGTGATCTACTGTATATACTGATGGAATTGCAATATATTCAGCAAAAAAAAACGAATGGGCTTCCATGATGGGTGGAGACTGATTGAAACCTGGAGCCTCCAGATAGTGAAGAGATAGACGCATGCCGTCACAGGAAAACTCATGCTTGAAGAGTTGAATCATAAAGAGAATACAGACTGAGGCCATTCCAAGGAGATCATTGAAAGATTGTTTAAGAACAATATAAGTACTGTAATATAATGCATAGCAAAGATGTAACTGTCCTGTTATTAAAATGTATCAACTCCCTACATTCAAAGGCCTTTCTTAAATATCACTAGCTAACAAAGGGTTGCCAAAGAATACATGTAGGTGTAAGAGTTTTGTATGCCTACTTTAAAACTATGTCTCTTATGTGGTTTTGTATATACGTATATAAATATATAAATTGTTGTCTTGAATATAACCCTACAATATGATTCTCTTAAAAGACTTTTGATTCTTTATTTTGAGCCCTCCATGTATCTGCATGCAGATTCATGGAAAGCTAAGGGTCTATTTATGAAGCATTCGCATTCTCTTAAAGAGAATGACACTGTCATTTAGATTCACCTGCAGAGAATGTATGCTGAATGTCAGATTTGCTGCTTCATAAATATGCCTCTATAGGGTGTAATTTCCAGTATAGTAATGCAAACAATATTTCATTTTACAAATGCAGTGTATCTGCCTATAGATCTCAGTTACCATATTGAAAGTGTGCATATTTGTATAGTTATGTACTATTTATTCAGAATGAGTATATCATATGATCAAATTAAAAGACACATGATGTTGTAGAAGACACCTTTATGCACATCAAGTACTGCTTTTATTTAAGAATACTATGGATATATTAAGGTAAACCTATGAGAGAAATGCGGGGCCTGCTACTTTGGATCTCCTTCAAAAAATACTAGTTGCCCGAATTTCTCAGCCTTTAGTTTTTTTGGGTGAATGACAGAGAACAAGTGTTCAAGTGAAGTCAGATTTTCTTTAAGGTGCAGAGATGTCAGTTGCTTCTAACCTGATCCAGCAGATGCAGTTCAGGCATTCTGAATGTATCTCAGGGGCAGTTACTTGACCATTTAGATATTTTCAGATAATCAGTAATGTTCCCACAAGATAAGCATGTTTCCAGTATGGCTGTTTGCTTGCTTAAACATGGTCATTGACATGAACAAGGATGACTATATACATATCATCTTATATCCCTGTCCAGTTTTAGCCTCTTTTAAAAGAGCAGGTTAATTTAGTCTGCAACCAGCATCATACTAGCTATTAAAGCTGTGGGTGACCTAGACCTATATGAGCACCCGCAATATGTATGATATAATGACTAAAACGTATTTCCTTCTTATATTTTAACAAATACAGGTAGCCCTTATTTTACGCTGGAGTTAGGTTCCTGAGGGAATGGTTGTAAATAGAAACCGGTGTAAAGTGAAATCCAATATACAAAGTAAGTCAATGGGAAGCGTGAGAGTCATGCTCCAGACCTTTCTCAAAATTGACATAAGTAATAAAATACAGGTACATTATATTTAAAGCTGCTGCATGAGCTCACACAAGGAGCCTTAAATAAAATGTACCTGTATTATGTTACTTATGTCAATTTATGTCAATGAGAGGGGCTTGGAACCTAACTTCCAAACTCTCTACTGACTTACATTATTTACTGGGTTTCAGTTTACACCAGTTTCTATTTAGAACCATTCCTTGTTTTGAGAGAGGCCTGGAACCTAAATCTCTTACTTCCCATTGACATACATTATATATTTGGTTTTAATTTACAACACTCCCAGAAAAGGGTGCTATTTTGAATCAGTGCAAATTAACCCATTGTAAACCGAGGGCCACCTGTATATTGTATGGCCCATTTTGTTGAACAATTTCTATTTTGCAAAACAAATATTATTTTGATACCTGAGATGTATTATACTACTGTCGGATTTTGTACTTTTTCACTGTTACCTGTGATTTATTTACACAATGCACCGGTGTTTAAAATATGTAATGCATCAAATAAAAGAGTACTTGACATTCTATCATTGGTCAAATTAAAGTCTAACTCTATCAAAATGTTTTTTTTCTACTTTTGAATAAAGTGGGGTTCGTTAAAGTTATTTGTGTCTGTTACCCAACTTGAAAGATTTTCCTTGACTTCTCATCCAGGAAAATGTCTGTGCAAGAAGTTGGTGGTATGGTTGTCTTTGGGACAGGAAGACACGGACAGCAATAAAACATTGTCCGGAGTTCTAACCCTTCCCCACCCTACAAAACATGTCTTTTATCAATGTCCTGTAGAATAGATTTCCCATCATATCCTGCCCTTGGGAGGAACACAACAGTAAATAGTTGACAGTGGTTCTAATCCTTCCATGCACTATTCAAAATAAAATAAAAAGTTTGAGCTTTTGCTGGGCTTTACTGTTTCATCTTAAACGACTTCATGCATGGCCACTTTGAACACTCATTTGCTGTGTCCAGGCACAGTGCAGTGTCAAAATATCCAGTTATACAGAGCATTCTACCATGGAGTCAGAAATATTAAAGGTGGCAAAAGTAGAAAAGTAGAAACTATCCAAAGCTGATCACTCGGCAATGGTAGATCAGTTATTTGGTTCCTACGTGAGAGATTTGCCTCAATGCCCTGCACTAAGTAATCAGTGATCTATAACAGTGTCCTCTAACAAAGCCCTTGATAATGTATATTTACTATGAGTCCATGCACAGTGTGTTGTCATCCTAGAGTTCAATGTTGTGCTGAACATGAGACAAAGATATGACGCACTCACCCTGGGTCCTGGCTTTCCGTCTAAGCCAGATGCTCCCTGTATGATTAGGTGGAAGTACAGACGATGGGTATCACATAGGTGACAAGAACGTGAGATTAGTGGGCAATGAACACATGGGGTAAGAACAACACAATACAGGTGACCACATTGATCACTGAGACATGGCTGGATAGTTTTCATGGTGTTGAGTGCTCTACACAACCCAGCATGAAATGGCCATTCCCCTAGCAGGTTAGAGGTCAGGTTACCAGCATAAAGCAAAAAATGTCTTCACATATAAACACTGTGATATCAAACATACAGGACATAGGCATATACACATATTTATTGCATAATAAGGAAAGTAGAAAAGTACACAATATCATGGCATAGCAACCAGAGTTTATCTTATTTCAACAGAAATATGTAGTCAATTTTTAAAAATTACATACAATCACAAAGATACCGACCGATTGATGCACCATCTACCAAAAAACATGCATATAGAATCCAAAACAGGAAAAAGATGGTAGGAAATTGGCACACCACTAGCAACAGGGTATCTTTGGTGCCAGTGGGGTGTTCATTTCCTACTATCTTGTTCCTGTTTTGGATTCTATATGCAGAGTTCATCTTACCCTGATATGGGGACAGTAAATAGAAATCTGATTGGTTTTGCCAGTAACCGCAATTAGCAAATCATTTTTGCTTGTTGTGCAGTCTTGATAAATACAAACATGTGATAGTATGGAACAATAGTATAAATATGACATGTTTCTTGTTTATGTGATATTATGCACGTTAAGAATGATTTTCTGCTTAATGTATAGCTGATATATTTTTGATCTAATAAACGGGAACATTGTAAACCTGAAATGTGTTACATACTGCACATGCTTTATCAATTGTATTACTTAATATGCTAGCTTTCTTTGTGCAGGTTTGCCCTCTGGTGGAGTCATTAAGAATAACCAAATCAATATTTTTTTGAACAATAGGCATAATGATAATATTATACATAATACATTATTTTATAAGAACAAAAGTTGAAAATTGTTCTAGTGTGGTGACTACTGTATCCAATACAATGCCTAATAATTGTATGTCTTCTGGCTGTTTCTCAAAGATATTGTGACATATTAGTTTAAAAAAATCCCTAATAGGACTAGTTGTAACAGGGAAATGGGCTTTGCACTATTCTTCCTAAATGTTCCCTATAGTGACTGTTATTTTACTGTTTGTAAATGCAGCAAACATTCTTAAGGGTTCAGTCTACCTAAAACTGCTTTTTTTAGTTCTGAATGGACGCTGGTAATTAAATCATCACCTGTGGATTCCAAAAGCGAGTTTTAAACACTACAGATTCTGCCATCAATTAAGTTTCTTAGGTAGCCGGACGTCTTCTACTGTATTCTACGGAATGTAAAATAAGCAGAACAACCAGCTGGCAGAGTAAGGGCCTGTGTAGATGGACTGCTATGGGCATGGGCAGTGATCCTTTGACATCGGTTTGAGATGTTTCTGATATCATTCAGCATTCATTGCAGGTGCAGCTGACCTGCATTTAACCTGCTGTTGCATTCCCATAGACTTGTATGGGGAGAGAAGCAGTTCTGAAGCAAACAAAAGCCCATCAACAGTGGCCCTGAAGGTCCTGTCAAATGGGAGAACTTGCCTCTGGTAACACATCACCAGCAGCAAAATCAACCAGTTGAGGAAACCCCAGACTCTAATGGAGAAGCTCCAACACTGGCCATGGAATGCAGCAGACTTCTCAATAAAGGAACAGCAAGGAAGCAACATCTCACTGGTGTGGCCAGTGAGGGAGCAACTCTATAGAAAAAGGTAATTGGTCTCTTAGGTATCCTGGCTGACTGACCCTTTATATTTTCTACAGAGGCGACAGTCTCAAAAAATGTAATCAGCAATTTGAATCAGCAATTTTGAAAACACTTTGGATAACATAATTATAACAAAGGTAACATTTATTCAAAGGTTTAGTAATATCAGTGACAACAGGCAAATGAATCCACAGTATTATTTGGTAATGATTCCATAAAATCATAGTAACAAAACACACGCCAGACATGATCAATATACCACACTGTAAATACACAGTTTGACTTGGACATTATAAACAAGGACAACAAGTAAGTGGATAACATGGAAATGGTATGCTGGCACTGGCTCTGTGTGGGGTCAAATTAAGAGATGGATAAATAATATTGCGTGAATGACAAGCAAAAGATTCATGGAGTTTTGTTTCTCTAACAATTTGATATAAAATGTAAAAATGTATTATATAGTGGTATGATTTGCCATTCACTGGAATCACTGAAATAATAATAATAAAAAAAGCATATGGATTGAGGTGAAATTGAATAGATTTTTACTTACTGGAAGACCCAGTGGTCCTCTGTCACCCTTTTGACCTGGCTCACCCCTCAATCCTTTAAGACCATTTAAACCTGGTTCACCCTAAACGTAAAAGTAGATGCCAATTTTGTTGTTTTGGCTGTGCAAGCTGGTACAGAGGAGGTTCAGACACTGAGACTGCTGCAAATTCCTGCCTGTATTATACCAATAAACGCACAAAACGTATCAGAAGTGTAACACCTTCATTGCTATTGTACAACTATTGATTATTACCACTGCACACCTGCCACCCCTCTCATGAGATGCCTCATGAGGCAACCTCCTCAGACTGCATCATTATAGGGATGGCCCTGATTATTACAATAAACAGTACCTTTCATGCTTGCAAACTGGAAAAATAGTCATCTTCATAAAGAGTTTTTGTGGGCCCCATAATTGTGCAGCTTAGTTAAGTATCCAATGGGGTTGATTCCCGTTTTTTTCATGTGGTTAATTATTTTGCTATCCTGCTTTATAACATGAACATTAAAAGATTGCATTATGCTTTGAATATTGTGAAGGTTGGAACTGTTAACAAAACAAGAAACATAATTCACCATATATTGGCAAATGTCTAATACATAGGGTAAAGAATCTAGCACTGAAACTGCTTGTGGTCCAATGTTTAAAGCCTTTGATGCGTGACATCTTGATAATATTAATGCTCAATCTTGCCAGCCACAAAAAAGTAAAAATAACTGAAACCTGTAAGCTACACTTCTGTAGTTTTGTTTACATTGGTCAGATAATACAGATCAGACATTGGAATTTGCAGTTCAAAATAAATCTTTAAGCTCAAAGGTATTTTGTAAAAAGAAGAAAAAGCTTTAGCGTTTTTTATAAGGTAGATTTTTACACAGCTTCTCCACCTGAAAAAATACATTTTTGGCATTTACTAAATGTGGCTTTATCATCCATAAAGATACAAACACCACAACAGTGATAACTGTATGGAATATTTTGCCAAAATGCTAATAAATGTTATTTAACTATTAAGCTGCAAAAATCTATATAAAACCCATATAATGATATTCATTTGTTCACAGAGATCTGCATGAACTGCATTTATAACTGCAGACTATGGAAATTGCTAAATCACCATTATATGAACAAATAGTTATTTACTACAGAAAATCTTTAACTGCAATTATCACAATTATAAAAGTTATGTCCTTTTTGCAGAGTTCATACTTGCTTTTGGCTCCAAACTGAAACCACCAAATCCAATAGGATACATGTAATGTGGCAGAAACATTTTCACCTAAATTTAAATATTTGATTGTACTAACAAGATACAATTTGCATCTATTGTAGGTGGAAATACATTGAAAGCAAACTCTATCTAAAACTGTTTTTTAATGTTTCTAGCTTTGGGTGGAGGAAAGCAGATTTTAATTCCACGGTGGATCTTTATTGCTATCTATAATCCCAGTAGAGAGTTCTCCTGACACCTCTGTCCATATCATGACAGTTAGAGCTCTGCTGCGAACCAAACTTTTTTCTTAAGGGGATGCTTTCTTTAAATATTCCCATGAAGGAGATATTAGTGGGACAGTGATGTATGCCAATTATGTTACTGGCCTTCTAGTAGAGTCTGCATAGGAATATATGGAGAATGTATTCCTGACGAAGGAACCAGGAAATTCACAACAGAACCCTGTAACAGAGGGGGAAAGTATCCCTGCCAAGGTTATGGACAGAAATAAACACCTAATAGAGAATGAACAATGCCTCATGAGTGCCTCTTTAACACTAAGGAAGCTCAAGGGCAGTTAATTCTATTTGGGAATGTAGTCATATTTTAAAACTGTATATTTGAGCTTAAAGATTTACATATATAAAACACATATTAGACATTACATACATATAACATGTAAGCATGCACCAATTATGTTACAAGAAAAATTCACAACAAATGCATGCCTTCAAATATAGACCAAAGGTACTTACCTTTGGACCTGGCAATCCATGTGGTCCCTAAAAATATAGATGTAACTGTTATAATACTAGCTATATTATTAACATTAATATTACTATGATGCAATACAGACCGTATTGATCTTCTCTAAGCACAACAGGATGTATGGGCATGCCACAAAATATTAAGTGGCAATGTTAAAGCAGAACTCAAACCTTACCTAAAGTCTTGCACATTTGTACAGGCTTCTCTCCTGTATTAAAATTCCCCACTTTGATTTCACTGCACACTGTGAGCTTCTCAGTTAGAAACACATAACAAGCTGCAGTATATCAGAAAGAGCCTGCCTGAAGGAAATCCAGCTTCATCTACTCCTTTCCTCCCCAACACAACTGTCCATGGTCCACCTCTTTCTTTTACATAAATGTTATAATTTTTTTTGAAAAGAACAAAGAGAGGGCAAGAAAAATCATAGGCCCATACAATAGCACAGGATTGTCAAAAAGAATGACAAGCATTCATATATAGTGCAGTCAAAAGCAATGAGCCACATTAACAGTCATAAAACAGTAACCAAAAAGGCGCAGTAAGTGAGAAAAAAGATCATCCTCCTCATAGTGCAAATACAAGGCCCAATTGGCTATCCACATTCCACAAATCTAAAACTGAAATAAGGCAGAGGACATAAAGGCCAATGGTCAAACTCTAAAAAAGGAAAAACACACCCAAAAAAAGAAACAGGTAGAAAGGAAAGAAAAGGAAAAAGGAAAGAATAGACACTCACTACAAAAAGAAACAGAAACAAAATAGAAAAGTAAGAGAAAATAGAAGACAGAAGGGGCTCTCCCGAACGAATCGACGCTGGTGAAAACGGCACGTGGTCCACCTCTTTCATTCATTGTTCTGTGAATGTTCTCATTTATCCAGGTCACGTTATAGCCAGTAGATGTTAGTCACATTCAACTGAACTTGTTCTGTAATACGAAAGACGTTCCATAGCTTATCCAAGCCACTTCATCACTTCTGAAGTGTTTCAGGAAAATTCCCTAGTATTTATATCCACACAAGTAGCACAGACACCTTAATCCAATCACCATCCTGTTCTTGAACAATCAACATCTGCCTTTCCATGGTGTTTAGATTAAGGTGTACGTGCTACCTGTGTGGAACTGAAGATGTGACTTGGATAAGCTACAAAACGCCATCAACATTACATTCTAGTTGAATGTGACTAGCTACTACTAACTTAATTCATTGATTTAAGTTCTATTAATCATGTAGGCTTAGCATCACATGTGGGTGTTACCTAGGCAGGTCTGCATACAAAAACAGTATACCTAGGAATGCTCACTCCTCCAGACTGGCACCCACTAATGAAGGCCTTTTGATATTTGCATAACCCCTCCCATCAGCCAGTCCACTGCTTGCATCAGGAAGTACTGGGGCAGGGTGCTGTGATGTTATCAGGTAGCTATATACAGCACCCTGTCCCCCCCTCCAACTAGCCAGAATCTGTCTGAATTCCATAGAGAAGCACAAAGGCCTAGTGTTGACATCATAGAGTCTAAAAACAGTATGTAAAGAAAATGGAAAGGTTTTATTAAAATGTCATTATCATGTTGATGACATGGTGGAGGGAGCAGATTAAACTTTAATTCCACTGTAACAACCTTAAATGTGTTTTGACTACATACAAGTTATAGCTCATCACCAACCAGTCAGATGGCCATTACTCTAAACCTTATATACACTGAAAATATAAATAGTGAGGTTACTTACAAAATACGCAAATATATGGCATTTCTTCACACTTAAATCCACAGGAACTTATACTAAATCCTGTTCAACAATTTCAATAAAAAAAAATAATGTAATACAATCATAATCCACATACCATTGGGCCTGGGGGGCCATGAGGCCCTGGTGGGCCAGGAGGGCCAATGATCTGTAAAAATAATTTGTTTTAGAAAAATGAATGAAAACTCAGATTGCAGCTATTTAGGCTTTGAACATCTTGCAGCAGTGAAATCATTATACATTGTTCAGTGTGGATGATTAGGATTGCTTCTGCAATTACCTCAGTAAACCATCACAAAACATGAAAGGCACATTTGCATAATTTAAATGCCTTTCTAACTATTGCATTGCCACATATATTTAATTGCACAAAAGTATCAGGAACAGAAAAAATTAAATACTTTTGTTCTGCAGTTAGCAACCTTTTGCAAAATACTATTTAGTACTACTTATGCCTTCTTTAACCAGGATGTCTGCTTGTTTGACCTGCAGACTCTAAAATAAGAAGGCCTAGATTATTTTCCTATAAGGAATGTTTTGATATCAAGTGGGCAATCACCAAAATGCAAAATACATAATTAACACAATAGTAACAACATATCAATATGACTGAACACTCGCAATGAATGTAGAAGAACCTTTTGCTTTCATACACTTGGACTTTCTCTTGCTTCTCTACAATTGTATCTTTTCTTGCAATGTAGGGGCTGCTGCTGACTTTTCTGCTTGAACCTCATTTACTCAGGTAGGGTTCTGGTAGAATGACAGATGCAGTTATCCGAAGGCTGCATCACCATAATCTGTAAGATTATCTGCATACGTGCAGATAATGGCACACACTTACCCCTACTGTGCTGTCCTTCAGTAATGGCAGGTCCAGGATCCTATCACCGATGCTTCCCCTGTCAGTGCCATCTTAGCCCCTGATCTTTCTATGTTCTGAGGCGGTCCCCTTCTGCCATTGGGTAGCCACTGATATTGTAACTGCTTGCAAGCAGAAGTTACATTGTCTAGGGCACACAGGTCTATTCTAGGCCTGCCAAGATTAGGGTCATGCTGTACACAGTATACACATAAAACAAATAATCCCCAGGAGCTAGAGAAAAGGTTTTTGGGTAAAAGAGACTTTGCATGTGTCTTCTGTCAAAAAGACTCTACCTCCTGGTGATTGTTTAAGCAATCTTAGTTCCACTTTAAAAGGTCCTAAATTACTATTTCTATTGTCTCCTCCAGTCAATACCTGTCTGGACTGCCCATATCTGGCACATTCTGCCATCACTTAAAATGAAAAGTCCCTTAGCATGCATTTGAAACTGCAAATCCAGAAACATATGCCTTTGTCCATCCTGAACCCATTCACAAAACGAATACAGTTATAATAGACCTGTGCACAACCAAAGTTGGGCAGAAGCAGATATGTTATAAATACTCAAGAAATGTTTTGGGGGGAGGAATGAATGGGGATGGGAAAATCCCAACAGGGATAAAGGCAGCAGTAAGAACATATTTTTTAAAAGAATGAAGAAGATTGCTGTATGTGTCCCCATGACAGAGATTTGTCCTCACATTCTCTCCTATAAGAAAGACACAGACAGCATTTACAACCTGGCAAAGATTCTAAGCCTTCCCTGTTCTACCAAAATATAAACAGTTGTGGCAGAAGTTGGATTTTAACTTTTATGTGTGACTTATAACCAACTGGTGATTTATATTTTTTTGCAAGAGAGCATAGAGGGCATAGTATCATTAAAAAATGGCAAAAATATATAAAAATGATAGTTAAAACCCATCATTGTTATAATAATGATGTAAGGTCATTGTTATAACCCATCATTATTATAAAGAGCATTAGTAAATTCAGATATGTATGTTCCCAAACAAGTGAATGATGTTGGCAATCCACAGGAAGTGTCACAAGTGATCTACAGCCTGTTAAGGGTACCTTTAGCTTTAGCAGAGTGTGCCCTAAGAATATACACTATTGAGGTGGTTGTTTTTTCCTGTCAGAGGATAATACATTTCTCTACAAAATTTGCTGTTCTACTCACAGAAGCTCCATGAGGCCCAGCTGCACCATGATCTCCTTTTTCTCCCTTCATCCCATTTGCACCCTAGAAAACATTTAATATTTGCAAATTATGACTTGATTTTTGTACTGTTCTAAAATAAAAAAGACATGTGTGATATATTAAGATCTACGCAACCATCTTCTACCATTTTTCAATGCTCTGTAGGTCTGGCAGGACTTAAAATCAAAGTTCAAATAGATCTAAAAATAGATCTAAACCCAGTCATTAAAAGTAAACATATGCTGTAACATGTCATTTTAAAAGTTGTTTTTCATATTTTAAATATTCAGCTTTCATGAAAAAAAAAAATATCTGTTGATCCTGAAATGAAAGTTCTTTGTACCTGTTATGTTATAGGGTGACAGCTGTCTCCCAACCGTGCTCCCATTTTTTTACTCTGTCGCATGCAGCTCTGATGTTGATTTCAATTAGTCAGGGTGACACACAATGTGCAGTCAGGAAGCTGGCCCAGAGCAATGATGTGCAGCTGACACTGGAGCACACAGTCAATGACATGGCAATTGCTTTAGCCACTTAATGTCATCCAGTTAGGGTTTAAGTTGTCCCTACTTTAGCTGCTTCTTTGTGGTCAGTTGAATTTAGCATTGAAGCCAAATGGAGGTGACCCATATTTTTTAAACATAAGTGAAGACTAGATGCATGGATACCAACCCTTTAAAAACCTGAAGTGTGCAATTTTTATATTTAATACATGTAACATCAAACCAGAATGAGAAGTCACTCAAATAACACGAGGGGATGCTTTTCTCAAAGTATCAAACCCAGTTACTATGTAATGTGCAAGCCTCAAAAACTAAACAAAAAACTTCCTTTGCCTTCCCTGACTGAGCCAAATTCTCCTTCATTTGTGTCCCACATGTTCCTCCTTCCAGACACTGCAGCTCACAGTGGGAGTGTTTCAGCAACAGAGGCAGTGCTGTCAATCCAGAAAGCAGTGAGCAGGACTAGGTGTGGTCAGGTGCTGATTAACAAGCAACATCCTTGTGAATCAGCAGTGACAATGCTGATAGCCACACCACCTACAATTTTTTTGAATTAGATGATACAGATTTTGTTTGTGAACACTTCTTTTCAATAGTTACTCGTTCAAAAATGTCTAATAACATATCATACTAAAAAACAAATATTGTCTTGCTATTAACACTTACTGGTAATCCAGGAAGGCCAATTCCTCCCTTCTCTCCAGTTATACCAGACTCGCCATGATCTCCTTTGGAGCCTTTAGGACCCTGTTCAAAGCAATAGCAACTTAATTAATGGTTAAGAAAACTTACAGAGTATGAAAGTATTCACTTTACAAGATGGATAACATGTAGCTCCGTGGTTTCTAGAGATAAAAAAGATGGCATGATTTGGTAAGCAAACTAGAATACTGAGCACTATCTCATAGTTGTGCTAGTCAATCCACTGCCATGCTTTAAAGTGTGTGTTTACATCCAAATGATATACTATTGTAATCTAAGTAGACGTCTCTTACATTACCCAGCTCAGTGATTGGCCAGGGTTAAATAAATATTCGTAACCTATTACATTGTATCTTCTTAGTCTTTCTACTGAAGAGCACTTCCCAGAAGCAGCTAGAAGCAAACAATGTCCTTGGGCTTAGGAGAAACCTATCAAACTCAGAAAACATAATCAGAGCCCAGGCTTGCTACAGCCTAGCTGCTAACACTAAATTTAGACTTATGGCATTGTCCTACATTTAGAGAGCCAGCAAATGAGAGGAAACACTGGCATCCAGAAGAACAGCTGCACAGTTAAATCCTCCATACTATAAAGAAGGTGTCTTGCCTTCAACAGTTATGTAAAAATAAAGATATGAAACTTGTAGTGGATATATTTTCCACCACATCTTCTGTGTAGGGTGCACAGCAATAACTGTTCCAAGTTCCTAATAAAAGAAAAGTAAGCCAGCAAAGCCATCCTTCCATTAAATGGTCATCTTCATTATGGTATGGGGTTACAGTAGAACAAGCGTTTTGGACTAGCAAGTTTTTAGTCATTGCATCAAAAAATACTTACCAATAATATTACATCTTTACATAAATTTGCAGCTATAAAGTGTAACAGAAACAGAAAATATCCCTTCTATCTAAACAGGAATAATCGTAAGGGTTAAAAGCCCTGTCAGGTTTTCACTGCTGTTGTGTTCACACTCTCTATTGTTCCTGGTGACCATTGTCACTGAATAGGAGGTGAGATGAAATCCAATAGGTGTTTTTGGGGGGGTAGCTAAGAGGGGATTTCCCCTCACTTTGAAAAGATTGAAACTTGAAAGGTTCTAGGGCAGTGGTTCTCAACTTCTCTCCTTCGTACTTCCCTTTTTTTCACTCTCCCGCTGCTCCTTTCAGCCACTGGGAGTAACGAAAGGAAGCCATATACCCCCATGCAATAGCACTGGGTCAGTCACCAAGCTCCAGCCTGTCACCTTAAAAGGAGAAAAGTTCATATGCTCATTCATACCCAGAAGTAACAGGTATTTCTCATTGCTTCCAGAGGCCTAATGGAGCTGTTGGTGGAGTGCAGCAGGTATGAGCTGCTGGTGAGAGGTGAAGTTAACGCTGAACTCGAAGTGGAGGATAAAAAAAATCACATATTATACAAGCCTAAATTTATTTTTTATGTAAGAAGTATAAGTGGAAGAAGAAGCAACACAACTGCCTGTGATACACCAGTGTGGTGCATTAGCACATGCATGCTAAAGCTCGTTACATTAAGGCAGCCCATTCATTTTAAATGGGCTGCCAACACACCCCAGTCCTCTCTCTCTCTCTCTCTCTCTCTCTCTCTCTCTCACATCACATCTTCATTTTGAGGGGTATTTGAGATATTTTCCCTTTTATCTCCATTCTTCTGGTTATACATTACTATGTGTGCCTTATAGCTCTAGAGGAGCTGTGCTACTGTTATATTAGATGTTGTATTGGTGTTCAAGTGAATAAAATACAGCTTTTATTATAATGATAGCAGAGTTTTATTTCTGATGACTGTTTTGCACATATTGAGCATTTTTTTTGTGTCACAAAGAATTAGACTTTTTATGTTTATTAGTTAAACTTTTTTTTTTTCAGGAGTCGAGAGTGAAGCCAAGCAATAGGTGTGTATCTATTTATAAATGTAGCATTGTTCACAACCACTTTTTTAATGCCAAGAATAAACGCTTGCTATACCAAAAAAGGATTTTTTTACCCAAAGATGGAAATAAAGATGACCATCATTTCTATTCACAAAAGGGTGAAGAGTTTGGAGAAGGCAGGAGAAGTGAACAATCTAGGACAACATAGCTGATTTGGAAAAATTCTACAATTCAGCTCACTTTCCATTTCAGCTATGTTGTCCTAGATTGATATTGTTCACTGCCTTCTCCAAACCCTTCACCCTTCAGTAGATAGACGTGAATATAGTGGTGGGTCAGGAATGGTGGCTTACAGTATTTTATTTTTAATGAAATACTTAACAAGGGTTTGGCAAGTTTGCAGGGATGCTGGTAAAATGTTTACAGCACAACCACTTAGAACTGACTGTCAGACATTATCAATATCTATATACCAGAAGCAGCTAAGAACCTGTGATGTTTACTAAAATCCTTACAAAAATGATCTGATACTGGCTTTCCCCCTAGATCAGAGTATTTAGATTTGATTTTCCTAAGTGAGTAGTGGGCAATAATATTTGTTCCCCTGAATAACCAGATCTAGTAATAGTTAAGCATCCTTTCTTGAATTACATTTGTACACCTCGAACAACTTGTAAAGTAACTGTTTGGAGATTAAGTTCATAATAATATTAGTTTAACACTTCTATGTGAATCATGGCATGGTTTAATTATCTTTAGTTGCCACAGACGTTTAAATAGTCAGTAACAGATTGTAAATAGCACACAGCATTAAATGATGAAAGTTGTTTTGAATTGAAAAATTACTTTGATATTTGCTTATGCCTGTAATTGGAAACTTAACTTTGAGATCTTGCGGTTGCACAAAATTAATAAGCATACCGTTTTTTTTTTTTTATCAAGTATGACAAGCTACATTTACCATGTTTGAAATGATTAATTTTTCTCTCATTGGATGCTATTACCCAAAGCCCATAATTTGTCCCACTCATAAAATGTAATTGCAATTAATGTAGAAAACATATATAATTGGCCATTAGATAATACTGTTAAACACCAATGCAACATATAAATTGGGCAGGTAGTTAGGATTCCGTCATCATTTAATACTGTGACCTAGCAATAGCAGTATAATCAAAAGCCTTAGATATAACAAGAAGATACTGAGGCAGAATGGAAAGAACAAAATAATCTTTGTGAGCAACAGTTTTTAAAAAAATAAATCAAAATGAAAATGACAATCTTGAAGAAGTAAACAAGAAAAAAATGCAATGACTGAAAAAGAGAACAAAATAATAGCTGTATTCATGGGTATCGATTTTAATGGCAACTGTAAACACCTGATATCAGTTAATTGCCCATCTTCTATCTAAAAGGCAGTGTGGGAACGGCTCAATGCCGTTCCCACACTGGTTTTGTGGCGTTCTCAGATATACAATAAATGTAAACTCCCTGTGGAAGTTAAAGAAAAATTAACAAACCTGTACTCTAAAGTTTATAATGTTCAAACCATAATGGATTGATGCTGGATTTCATAATTATAACCAATACCAACTCTTCTTGTGATTTTAGCTTATCACCAGCTCTAGTCAAGTCTGTTGGTCTGCTGGAGCGACCCACGATTTTCTGCTAAGAGTGCCACTGTATAGTGCTCTCCCGCCAGAATCTAGTGATACATTTATTTCAGCCTATTGTAAAAACATCTAGGGGCCTTATTCAGTGACATGCCTTCAAAGCAGAACTGTCTGTAGTGCCCATATCCACCAATCCAAATATATTAAATATTAACTATTTCGTTTTGAAAATGTCTTGGGTTCTGCACCTTGTATCTGTTAGATTTTGCAGTCTACTCTAAGATATCATGCATCATTTTTCTCAGGGCAGAAAGGGCTTTAATTTGGTAGTAAATTTGTAAATATAAATTTTATGTTATAATTTTCAAAAGATTTCAGTCATAAAATAAATAAACAAAAAAAATAAATACAATTCACCGAGAACCATTATAATTTCTTATTAAGGTAAGCAGTTCTGCATTAGGTTTTTAGATACATTTTTGATACTGCTGTCTTTAATGTGTCACATTGGTGACCACCAGGGGACAGCTCTTTGGAAGGTAGTGTTGGAAATATGTTTACATAATCTGATCTAATGGGAGTTCTTAGAAATCCTAATTAACTGAGATGTTAGAAACCTATATATATATACACTGTATATACCGTACATTGGGAGTCTAATATAAATAGTAAAACATATTGCTTTTTAATATAATATAAAGTATGTATAGAAAGCAAATAATCCACAGCATTATATTGTGTCAGTAAAATATATTTTTTGTGCACTAAATTAAACAAGAGCACATTACTTGTTTTCCTCTTCAGATGCTTGGATATGGATACAGATTAAAGACCATTTTAAATTAGTTATATAGAATGAGATGTATTATGGTATGATTTACTGTTCCACCAAGATTACTGCTCTGTCAAATGCTGTCTGCTGTCAAGCAAAAGCAGTACTGCATGAAGTCATGTTATTGCCATGTAGAAAGTAACCCATTAATGGCAACATAAAATTTCGCTGATAGACGAAGGACATTTAAATAATGACATGGTAGTATTAGGAAATTGATATTCAAAAAGGACATTTAGATAGTGATATCCTAGTATTAGGACACTAACATTTAGAAATGAAAATATCTAGTAAAATGGTAGTATTAGGACATGAATGTTCATAAATGAATGAACATGTAGACAATGATATGGTAGTATTAGGACACTAATGTTTGGAAATGAAAATATCAAGACAATTATGGGGTAGTATTAGGACACTAATGTTCAAAAATAAAGGTATTTATGTGGGAATGTACCACATTTGGTTCAAAACTGCCAGTTCATCACTTTCGGAATATAGAGCAATTATGTTAACAACAATCTTATATTATTTTGAATTAGAGATCATCATGTATTTCTAGACTACCTATTTCTGAACATTATGTCCATTTCAGGATTGGTTAATAGTAACCACCCCCTACACATTGAACATTTTGAGTGATACATTACTGCAAACATTACCTGCTCCCCATCAACTCCTGGAGGTCCAATAGGGCCTCCATCTCCCTGTAGAAACAATGTAAGTTACCGTGAGCTAAGTTCAGCTGCAGCTATTGAATGAAACCACCGCACCATATTTAGGTGACATGGCTTTCTAAATGCATACATCAGGTGCTTGTAGTTGTATAAAGTCATCTGCAAAAACAATTTTGGTCAAGAACACGAAGAAAGTAAAGGTATAGTTTATGTTACAATATGTAGCTTCTGTCCACGATTTCATGAAGTGACAGCTTGTGATGTGTGCTAAGAATTTTCCACTTAAAGGAAGCCTGTGACTAAGGCTGTTACCTGTATTAGAAACACTTCAGATCCTCTGACAGAAGTTGTCAGTCTCCTTTCATACTAGTTTGGGTTGACAAAGCCAAGCCTCTTTGGCTTTACTGCAAGTGACATAACTGTCACAAACTAACATATTTCCCTGAAGATGGAAAGTCAATTCTGTCCTAGGATATGTAAGCATGTAAGGTGCTTCTAACACAAGTAAGGGGAAAATCATGGATACTGATTTACTAAACATTTGCTAGATCTGGTATATTAAACTGGGAAAACTGGGAAAGTCTTAGTAAATCATCTCTCAAATAAACAAAAAAAAAAATAAAGAATACAAGGTATGTTCATCCAGTAAAGGACTCTGGATCTCAAAGTTTTGTGTCAGCCTTACCGACTTTATATAGTAATAATGTAGGGGATGATTTAGACAGTTTCATCAGTCTGAAATTATAGGCCAATTGGTAATAAGGGTTAGTATTTTCGATGTATGCTACTACTTAAGCATCTCCTTTAGAGAGTAGCAAAGCATTGCAAGTGCCACCATACAACCAGCAGCATAAGCACCAAGGCACAAAATGCATTATACTGTAACTGTCTAGGAAAATTAACATTGGCTTTTAATAAAATATCAATATGCTCATTATTATAAGAAATATCTATACAGGAAATCACATGGCTCTATATATAGGTTTATCTAAATAAAAATATTTAAACAAATTAGATATAATACCTTTGGTCCAGGCAAACCAGGTAGCCCAGGTGGTCCAGGAGGTCCCTGTAAAGTAGGAAAAAAATCATGTGACCAAGGGACAGGTTGGGATGAGTTGTGTCACATACAAAAACAACAATACATAACTGAACAACAAATGGGTTGCAACAAAATCTAGAAGGTTACAAGGAAAAGTTAATCAGGGATCATTTCCTAAAAGAATCAGAGCTGTCTGCTTCCGTTCACTTCAACTAAGACAGCACATGGAGACCGTCTCTCACTCATCCCTATTTATGATCAAAGGCCATTCACGAAGAAACTAAAACGCTGTCATAATGTGTGTTGTTTGTTTCAAACAAAGAGACTGAAACTGCAAAGTGTATATGAGCTATGACCTTACCTTGCCAGAACACTCAGTGAAATTAAGATTTTATCACGTTATAAAGCTTTGTTTTTATAGCAGAGATATTTTCCACCCATTACTGCAACAAGCAAAAGGGGGGTGGGGATAAGCTACTAAGCTGAACATACATGTTACAATCTAATTGCTTGATCTCCTTATAGCTAACTACAACCATATAGTACATGAAGCTGCCTGAATGGATACATTATAAATGGATTGTTTTTGTAGGGCCTCTATAACAGTTTTGTGGCATAGTGTGCAGAGACTGTATAATAAGACTATAATGTTTATGTCCACTTTTAGAAACAGTATTTTGGGATTGTCATTAGCGAAATAATGGCAAGGTAGCAGCTTTTCCATGTACACGTAAACTATATATTTTTATCCCATAAGCAAAAGAAAATGAATTGAAACAACTGATGTAAGGCTATCTAGAAAATGTCTCATTATTTTGCCATGTGGTAGGACAACCAAGGCAAGAAAATGTTCCAGGGCATAAAACAAGCTGCCTGACTTAAATATAATTATAATCAAGGATAGGTCCATATTATGAAGAAATATAGCATACATATTGTGGTTGATTTACTAAACAAGTTGAGAATATTTACTTAGCTTTGTGAATAAAAAAAAGCTGTGTTAACTTCACTCACTCAATCATGTGCAGGGAAATTGATAGCAATAGTGCAAATGCTTGGCGTGTACACAGCTTCACTTTATTCACTAAGCCAAGTGAACACTTCACCCTGTCACCACAGAGTACAAGTTTTTACATTTTCATATCAATAATTATACTATTCCTGTCTAGTAAATAAAATTGTTACAATGTGTTAATGGTACCCATATACTGAAATTATTAATTTGTTTTGAAATAAATTACCCATTCCATCCTGAATATAATCAAGGTCTGACTAGAGCTACTTTTAATGTATAAATGTAAGACTAGCCAACACACGTTATACTTCGGTTTATTCATCCAGACCTACTTTTAGTACTGTATATTTAATGCAACTGCAGTTCAGATTTTGATCCATTCAAGATTCAATTTCCTAAACATAAATGCATTTGTGTTTGCTATAAAAGATGAATTTGCAGTTGCTGTACATTTTTTCTTCTGCCATAATTCAGCTTTGAAGAACAAAATGGACTGGGCTTATTCAGTAAAGCATGCAAAATCCTGATCCTGAAGTGAACTAAACCTATCACAACCAATCAGATTATCGGTTATTGCAGTCAGATCTATTTGCCTAATTCAATATCAATAATTTTACAGGTTTAGATTCTGTGGGATAGGCTGGGAAAACATATAAAACATATTAAATGTGTCGAATAAAAACTATAATAGATTATGCTATTTTGGTTCTCATTGTTAAAATTTAATAGTTTTTATATTAAAGATATTAATACAATTCTTCAACAGAACAAAAACACAGTTAGAATCAAGTGTAACCATTCTTGAAACACCAAACAGTGTGTGTTTAGTGGATTAAGTTAAAGACTAACTACAACTTTAATTACACGGGATGCATTCCTCATGGAAAGTACAGGAGCATTTTGTATCAATAGGTCCCTGGCCTCTCTTCCCTTTTTAACTGTGGGTTTTTTTAAGAACATTTGTGGTGAGAGCCCCACTGATACGTACCTGAGAACAGAGATAACGACCCTGCTTAACTTGACCTGGGATGTGCCGTGGTCACTATGGTTAGTATGCAAAATAAGGGAGGCATACTCAGGAATAAATGTTGCTAGAAGAGGTGGGTGGGGTGACACAGACGATTGACGGGTGATTATGGGAATGGGGAGGTTTAAATGTGTGGGGCTCCTCCCACAAATACGCTAACTAGTTAGCCTAAAACCTATCGATCACACCAACTACACTTTTCCCCTTGTAAATGGGAAAGTTAAATTAAGTGCTGGATAATATAATGTAGCTAAGCGCTGTGTACCTAAAAGAGAACTATGGGGTAAGTGTTTTTCCGCATAATTCTCTTTAGGGTCATGGGAGGACATATACTAGCGCCCTCCGGTGATCCAAAGCTCAATATATCGCAAGCTGCAGCTCGCGGTATACTGAAACTTCCGCAGCCGGGACGGATCCTGGGGGGGGGGAATCCCTGCAGGGAGCCATGACTGACAGTTACCACTCTCTGCAGGGACATGATCAAGAAGTGAGCGAGCAACGGTATGTGATCGCTCACTTCCCGATCTATTGAGCCGACGCGTGACAGTTTCATTGTCACACGCCGGCTCTAACTATGAGGATGAGTGATTTTAACTCACCTCATAGTTCTCCTTTAGGGTTAGCCTACATTTTCCCTTTATTCCATATTTCATAAACGATATGTACACTTACATATCTCTTTTTTGAGCTTAAACTGTTGTTTTACAAAGGGCAAATAGGCAGTTCACTTTGCATGGGATTTTTCACTGTGCAAAGGAGTTTTCCCTTTGCTTCGTGAATGAAGTAAAGCTCTGCTGACTTCCATCATCCAGTCATGTAACAGTCAAATGTTTTTTTTTTTTTATTTCCCTTGCATGTAATTGGGTATTCTTTGGAAAATGAATTTTCACCATATTTAATGAGCTTAGGGAAAATTCTCTTGCAAAGTGAATAGCATATTTACCATTAGCAAATCAACCCCTTTGTGCCATCTGCCATAGGAACAGCCCATGGCATCTTGAGGACATAATCACCACGCTGTTACTCTGTTTTCCTTACTCCTGCCCATAGCTGGCATTTGTTGGGGATGTAGGGAGGAAGGGTGCTTGTCAGATTGGGAGCTTTTCCCTGAAAGCCAGTACTTAGGGGTGTGAAGAAAGAGGCTACAGCATGGTATTGATGGTGTTTGAATGCCACAGGCAGCCGTTGCATTTCTGTAAGAATGTGTTTATTTATGTCTACCTAAGGCATTAGATATTTTAACAGTTTTAACCCAAAAATGGGTTGTAAGTGCAGTTATTGTTTAAAGTTATTTAAAAATTAACCCTTGCGGTGGGGCTACCACTGCATTACAAGTGTTAACTGCTCGTTTTGGTCTAGGGGTCAGAATACAGAAGATATACAAAGCTGATCCTCAGTCCTGCATCAGCGGGCACTCACCTCTCTCTCACTCCTCCCCAGCTGTGGTATGCCCCTCAGCATCCTCACATCTAATGCAGGTGAATGAACCTGCATAAAACGTGATGACATCAGCGGGGTTAGACCACTAGAACCCAGGGGAAAAGTGGTTGCAGAGACCAGTCTAGCAGCCAGACGTTTCCTGGAGTTCCTCTTTTAAATAATATTGTAGAGTACCTTTAAGGAGGAGGGGACTTACCTCCAAGTAAGTCTGCTTAAATGTATGCATTGTAATACTATATACTGTATGTCCTAGTTTTGAAGCTCAGACACTTTAGAGTTAGGAACCACACTTTGCAGAGGTGCCTTGATGTGGCATTGTGGTTTTACATGTTTATGCAAATATATGCAACAAAAACCTCTCTTTTTAATCAAAATATGCAAGCAGTTTAATTAGGTCATTTGTATAGACTAGCTGTACTGGGTGCTTTGGAATTTTTGCATTCTTCAGGGTATTCCCCTACCTACATTTATGTTCTTTTTGCTAGTGTTAAGTGATGGAAACTGAAGCGTTCCTTTAAAAAGCACTTGTAGTGCATGTAAATATGCCCAGTTCATGGGATATAGTGTTAGTATATACAGAATATTACAAGCATGCAATGAAAACAATAACAATACAAGACCACACGCAACACAAAGGAACAGTCCGTGCAGAATTACCGTAACTGTAATGGCGGTAATCCTCTGAAGAGAAGGCGCAGCGACAAGAAATAACATTGTACTTAATAATACATCATACTGCATACATTATTAAGATTCTTCTAAAACAATGCTTACATAATTATGTAATACATAATTCGGCAACCATGGTGAATGTATCCAGGAATTATTCCAGCTTCAAAATGTGATACAAAAAATCTCTACAGAGCTTAATTCCAGCATTTTGTCCCTGGTGAACCATTAAAAAAACTGCCTGTGTCACAAATGAAATACTTATAATACTATATTAATGCAATACTAATAAGCATTACAACATTCCTGTCCCAAGCAAATTATGTTACGCTGATATTAGCATATTTCAGCCAACCAACAGCATTCAGAGAGACACCAAAAAAATGCAAAATGGTTTTATCACTTTATGTCTGCCTGTAGTATATTTATGGGAACTCATAATGCATAAATGGTACGCATTTATATGTGATGAGCTCCGTTAGCAATCATTGATGTGACAGCTCTAATCAGAATCAGTGTGGTTCCTGGTCCTTTGCTCAGACAGTCATATTTAACATATATAAAAGTAACATTTATAAAAGTTTTCAGCTGCTTCTATCTCTTTTGGGAAGGGAAATGATGACAGAGGAGGTAGAGAGTGGAAGTGGGAGAATGAGAGGGTAAAAGAGTAGGAGAGAGGGAAGGGGGAGTAAGGGAGAGTAGGGGGGTTGAGCGTGAGGGAGAACTGGGTGGGGGGAGAAGACAAAAAAAAGAGGGGGAGAGAGAAGTAGAGAGAGAATGGGTTTTTAAAGGGGAAATCATTTTTGAGCAGAAGGAAGAAGAAGAAGAAATATGAATCCATTATCGTCCTCTTTTATCATTCATCCTTACATATAAATTAAACGGTGTATCCATCACAAACTAGTATTTCAGATTCTGGTAAATACTTAAGATGTAAACAACCTGATAATTCAATATATCACTCAGATATCCTATTTTTGCGATATCTGTGCAGTTTCCTTAGTCTGAACATTTGATGTGCCATTATTAGGGGTTGCACTCTCCCTGCTGGTTTTTCTTCTTTTTTTTTAATTTCGATTTTATGAACAAGGCAACAGGAGCTATGGAACAAATAAAGGCGGGTGGATACACCCAAAACTCCCAGGTTAAGAGGAACGGAGTTGAGATTTATGTCAGGGAGTATACAAGACATTAAAGAATCCAGGGCTTGGCTCAGCCTACTAGGCTTCATCATAATTAAAATGTCATTTTTGGCCAGACTCACTCTTTCGGGGATATTCATGCTATAACAATGTACTATATACATGGAACAGCTAAGATTAGGGCTAGAGATTAAATGGTAGTATACATTAGGGATGCACCGATACCGAGTACCGATATTTTTTTATTGGTACTTGCCGATACAGAATACCGATACCGGCAACCCGAGGTAGCGTGGGCCCGGCCATTCATGAAGCCGTGCGGTAGGTTATGGCCTGCTGCCCGGCTGCCTGATTGACTAGGAAACCGGGGTTCTGTCGACAGAACACCGGCTTCACACTCCCTCCCGACACTACGCGGCAGCCTGGCTTCCTGACCAATCTTGAATTGCAGTGTCGCAGGAAGCTGGGAGGTGGGTCATGAAGCCAACTTCATGCTCCCTCGTGGCAGTGCCAGTCAGAGGGAATCTCCTAGTATATATGAAGCCAAAACTTTTTAGTGGGATTGTATAGGATAGGATTAGAACTAGGAATAGGTTTTTAATGCTTTCTGTGGCCCATTTAGGTAGATTCCTCCTCTATACTTGTCCTATTGACTGCTGTCACCAGATTTAAGGGCGAGGAAAAACCCAAAGATTTGAATGGAATAAAGTAGAAATCTTCCAATGGGGATACTTATTCCACTGTCTTACAGGATACTTACCTCACTTTGTAAAGATTTCTTCTCACTTGCTTTTTGTGTTTACAGGACAAGAAGTATAGAAAAATCTCTTAAATGAGACACAGATCACAGAAAAACTAGACATGAGCTTTAGCCATTCCCTACATCTAAAATAAAAGCAAAGGTTTAGGATTTAGATATACTTTAATTTACTAATTATTTATAGGTTAGGTAGGAATATTATTTGTGATTATTTTGTTTTCTTATAAAAACCCAACATAATTATTTTATTTATTATTGTAAACTAATTTTAAACTTATAAAGAGAGACTGTCAGATTAAAACAATGAAATTAAGCTTCAGTGACTGTAATGACCCTATTTACAGTCTTACCTGCAATGCTTCCTGAATATTTCCATTGTAATCTATAATTTCTGTGGCACCTTGATCTCCCTTTTGTCCTGGAGGTCCCTAAAGAATACATGAAAATTAAGTTAGATCTAGGAGAAATTACATTTCATTTCCTTTCCATTTTGTAGCATGAACCATGTATTTGCAGCATCCCTTTGAGGGTGAAAAGAGAATATAAAGCTTACAAGGAAACTGCCAGGATAGAAAAATAGGAGCTGCCATTGCTGACTTGTTTTTACAAGAGGGCAGTCTGTCATACTTGCTTATCTGTGTTTTACTACTTAGTAAATCACTGGTCCAGAAGAAGTGCACAGCCAAAGAATTGTCAGGACATCTGATATACCCATTAATGTTCTTGGATTGATGTTATAGTGTAATTCATTTTTTAAATATTTTCTGCACTTTCCAAGCACAAAGCAGTCAAGTGCTCTTACATCCAGATGTCTGCTTCAGGTTCTCTGATTTCAAAGTCTCCAAAACCTCTGATTTTGCACTATCCTCCACTTGGCAAGGACAACATACAAGTATATTGTGATTTCTACATTGTTTGTCTGCTCCACAACATGGTGAAGTTGCTTAACATGCTACATGCTACGGATGTTATGCTGTGCATAATGAACTCCAGCTAGTGTGCACCGTGCACCCACACTTCTGCTGTGATAACACACCTGTATGGCGAGAACAGGGCACATAGAAAAAAAATATTTTTAATGTATCCTTGACTTTCAAATTAGATCAATACTGCTCTACTGAAAAGGTGTGAATGAGCCCTAAACCTAGCTTTATAAATGCAAGCACTGTGAATCAAAACAAAATGTACTAAATACATTTTCATATATTATATGATTCCAACTTGCAAGTGGCCATTTAAGCATTTTGCAGCGTTTCCATCAATTAGAACTTAGAAGATGCACATAGAAATCTTGGCAAGGAATGCTATTTTATCCAATAACTAACATTTGCTGTACACTTTAGGCAAGTTGGAATATATTTGTTATTAAATGCAATGTCTAAAACAGCCTTTCTCAACTTTTTTTCCCTCAAGGTCTCAAGGAATCCCACTAAAATTAGTTTAACTGGGTCAGTAGGGAGAATGCTTCTTACATTGGCAGCAGGTGGAAAGAATGCCCACTCAGAGGATGGTAGTCAGAATGTCATCCCTACATATAGCTAAAAAGATCAATTGTGTCATGCTGCTGGCTCTACCAAGTGGCTTTGGACCTGGAATAATGCAGGCACCATCAAATGAGAAGTCAAGCAGACACAGCTCAAGGAACCCTTAGCAAACTCTGTAAGAACACTGGTTGGGAATGACTGGTCTAAATAAACATAAAAGGTAGAGCACTTACTCTAGGACCAATTGGACCAGCATCACCTCTGCTCCCAGATTCACCCTAAAATAACCAAACATTATTTTCATAATGAATAAGTAGGATTGACCCAGTAAATCGCACATTACATTTAAAATTACACATTGCTGTATGTACAGTATATAACAGCAAGTTATTGATTAAACATAAATTAAGTTACAAAACATAGCAGCATAATCAGTAAATTTGCTTTTGGTGTAGGAAGCATTGCACAGTTGTCTCCTCCCAAACTTAATCAATCCTCCCCCTATCCTACAAGAGATCACTCCTGTTTAGAAAAAATCCTATTGTAACACTGTAACAGCCCATAAGCTATACAAAGTAAACCTTTGCTTTGGTCTCTCTAGCTGCACATGCGTTGGCCTGCTGGGAACATAAAGCTTCAAGTTATGTGTCAGTTGCTGCTGAGCAGTCAATTGCCACATACACCAGAGCTGTCACATGGGAGGGAGAGGATGACCCTGTTGGGTCTATTTATAACCAATTTGCAGAGCCATTCGCCATACGGGTCTTTCTGATGTTCATTCTGTGTGAATAGAAGCAAAAATGATTGTTCCTAGATACTGTATATTTTCTTTTAGGGTTGAATGTATGTAATGTAATATTGCATTATGGCCACTAGATGGAGCTGATAAACATAGGAAACACTTATTTCCTATACTCCTTAGCTTCTAGTGGACAAAATGTAGTATTACATTACATACATTTGACCTGGAAAAAAAAGATAGATCTAAGAAAGCTTGTTTTTGCATCTATTCGCACAGAAAAACCTTCAGAAAAATCCATAAGGCAAATGGCTCTGCAAATTAATTATAAAAAGGAGTCAAATATGTTGCATCAAAGGATACTTGATTAAGACAAAAGTTTAAATCACAAATGTATATTAGCAGAAGGACAGTTGATTTACAATTTCTTTGTATGAGATTCTGGAGTTCAGCTTTAACCATTAACCAATCCTGTTCCAAATTCCCCATCATCAATATGCTAATTACATCTTTTGCACCCTCTATACAATCCTTTTATAAGTTTGTACTCCACCAGGGTACAGGAAGATTTTGAGAAGCAGCCCAGAGAAATCTTGTTGGATCCAAGACAGGTAAATATAAAACTGTCAGGAGGGCTGGAGACAGGAGAGATATTCATATATATTTATATTGCATAAAAAGTCGACGAGTTTCAAGGGTCCCCCTTGCTTGGGGCTTGGTACTGTTGAACAAAGTGTGTACTGGACTGATGGAATAGGAGGCATCCTGAGGGTTAATTAGTATGATCAATCCATATACCAGCCTTATCGGCATCTGCAACGTTCATACTGATTACCCCTCAGGATCTCTCCAATTTTGGCACCTTCCTCTTTGCACATCCAGTCCCTACTCGAGCAAAGAGCTGATCTTTGGCCACCACACCTGGTGGAGTTGGCTAAGGAGAATCATTCCCTCTGTACTGATTAAGACATGGCTGAGAAGACCTACTGCTTTAAGAGATCCGACACTCCACACCTTTCTTCTACCTTCCAAACAAATGATTTGTAACAGTCACGTCATAAAAATGTCTTTAGGAATACACTTTACACCAAAAGGTTTCTAGAACTAATGTACAAACTTAGTCATGGATTAAGTAGCTATGTGCTGTGTAAATGTTTTGTATCAGCTCTTTGATATCATAATCCCAGGAACAGCTGACAGTCAATGCAGTAACAATGAGCCGCTGCATCTCTCTAAATCTGTGATGTAAAGTTCCATTAAAATGACTAAAGCCACTTGTGTGTCCTCTGGTTGTATCATATTTGCCACTTGCTACATCAAAACAGTAAGTTAATGTATGGTCTGACTTGTGGAGAAAGAAGGAAAGTAAGGACTGGTCAACAGCTGTGATAAAGACTGTGGGGTCTATTCACTAAGCTGCCGTAGGCAGCCGAGTGACTCACCGACCCCAAGCGACCCCAATCGTTCAGGCTGGTACGGCTGGAATTCCAGCCGTACATTGGGTGGCTTCACGTGGCTTCGGGTTGGCCGAACATGCTCAGCATGTTAGGCCGACCCGAAGTGCAGAAGGAGTTTGAATCAGCCGATCCAACATCTGGATCGGCTAAGCCGAACCTTCGGCAGGCTACTCGCTGCTGTTCGGTCTATTCTGATAGATGCCGAACAGCAGTGAGTAAATAGCCGAATGCCGCTGAGTGTCCCTCTGTGGGACCGAGCAGAACAGAAAAATAGTTTAAAAAGTAGAAAAAAAACTGTTTTCTATTGGCTGGGCGGTTCTGCTGCGGTTAAAAAAAAAAGAAATCACCATAGGAAAGCATAGCTAGATTCCTATTGGCTATTTCACTTTGCAATAGCTAGTTTGCTGTTGTCTATTGCAAATTGAAATAGCCAATAGGAATCTAGCTATCCTTTCCTATAGGGATTTTTAATTTTTTTTTCTTCTGACGGCAGCCAACGGCTCCGATGTCAGAAGAAAAAAAAAACCCAGAGCAGGGAAAGGTTTACTCTGCTCAATCGAGCAGAGTGAACCTTTCTGGGAGAAAGTGTTTCTCTCCCGTGCGGCCGGGAGTCGTATTTGACTACCAGAGCGTCTGGGAGAGTAATGACAGATGGTGTCCCTGGTTACCAGGTAACCAGTAACGCCATCTGTCATTACAGACTGAGAACACGCCTCTGTGATATCATAGCGACAATAGCCGTGAGATGACGGCTGGCTTGGCCAATTCAAATTCAAATAGCCAATAGGAATCTAGCTATGCTTTCCTATGGGGATTTTTTCACAGAAAGAGTGAACCTTTCTGTGAGAAAGTGTTTTCTCCCGGGCGGCCGGGAGCCTATTAGACTCCCAGAGCGTCCGGGGAGGAATGACAGATGCGTTCCTGGTTACCAGGTAACCAGAAACGACATCTGTCATTATACACTGAGAACACGGGGAGGCCGCTCTCAGTGTGTAATGACAGCGTCCCTGGTTAGCTGGTAACCAGGGACGCTGATCTCTCTGCAAGTGGCCAGAGTCAGCCGTAAGATCACGGCTGGCTCCGCCCAGCTGTCAGTGATCTCTCTGCAAGTGGCCGGAGGCAGCCGTAAGATCACGGCTGGCTCCGCCCAGCTGTCAGAAGCAGGCTGTCGGCCGGCCAATGGCCGGCCATTCGGCCAGCTTCGGCTTTACTGTTTACTGTTCTCTGAGAATCCCAGCCAGGATTTCCAGAATATCCGCTACTAATGGATCTCACAGGGTTCAGGCCAGTATGGCTAATATTTAGGACTGATTAAAAATGTCCTGTTCGATTAATCGATTTTTTTAAATCGATTAATCGATTAATTTCGATTAATTACAACGCACATACAGATCCAACTACCTTCTCTGCCAGAGTAAATTACATCCCACTAAAGAAAGAATTAGGGTGATCAAAATACCCAAACTCACTGGCCCAAGTGGATCCGGCGCTAACGAAGGGAAGGGGGGAGGACTCTGGTGACGCCACGGACATCGACGTCTAACGATTAATCGAGAGATTAATCGTTAATTTCCGCAGCCCTACTAAAATTTGTTGTAGATCCCAGACCAGGAGTGTAACAGGAGGTGAGGCTGGGCGTGTTGTCTGATTCAGAGGGGCATTTAAGCACTAGCTCTGCAAGGAGCCTTTTCCTAGTTTCCTGATTGTAAAGGAGCTCAATACTTCTAGTGTTTTCTCGTTGCTGACCCAGACTGCCTGACCCTTCTGCGCTAACTGCCCGCCCTGATCTTCTGCTTGGACCCGACTGTGCTTTTGTCCCCTGCGTTTATCATCCGGTTACTGGTTGCCGACCTTGGGCCATCTGACCACCGTCTGTTAGCCGCCTGCCTCGACCCCTGCCTGGATCTGACTACCTTTTCGTCTTCTGGTTGCTGACCCGTCTGACAAGCCTCTGGTAACTTCCTGTCAGAACCTGTTCCTTGTTCCCGATCACACTCCAGTCCACTGTCTCCTCATTGGAGCCCTCCTGTTCTCATTCATTCCTTGGCAGGGCAACCCTGTGGACCATGACCTGGTACCAGCAAGCAGCTAAGCCCATCTCCACCATCAGGAACTCTGGTGAACACCATCTGTTAGACTCTGCCCCTCAGGTGAGCCCGAGTCACCCGCCAGGGGGTTTCACCCTAACACAGGGTTTTGCTTCCTCATGTAAGAGCCTCCAGCAAGGAGAACAGAGTATGCAGCACAGTACTCTTTGGTTTAGATACACCTTAATACATACAACCTGTTGCTTTGAATGAAGATGCCTGAATCATCACAATGGTATTTTGCTTGCTACAAGGTGCAGTGCTTTTATCTGTAGCCCTGCATTCGGAAAAACTGTACCTCTCACAGTTGCCATTCAAAAAAAATATGTATTTTGTATTTTTTATATAATGTTTCACTCACTGGAAAGTCACGTACCAATGATTTATCAGTTTACTATTCATTAATCACTTGCAATGTCAGTGACCATTAGTGGAAACTCAAACGTCACACTTTTTACACGTTTGCCACAGACAAAATCTACCAGTCAGCCTAAAAAATATCTTGAAATGTAGCTTGTGTGTGGGCAAATCCAGGCAGGCCCACAAGTGCAATTGCCAATTCTTTATAATAACCCATATGTGTCATTACGAAAGCAAAGTAAAGTATCATTTAAAAACCATACAAGTGATTTACACTGATTTGTGTTTTGGTAACCCTATTGGCTACCATACCTGCCTTTTTATACAATGCTTCTTTGTCTCCATCAGTACAGAAACTTTGAAAGATAAATCCCAGCTATGATAGTTTTTCTTAAAGGGTTATATTATCTGTATTCTTTCATTTTGCCACTAGATGGAGCCACAGCAATAGAAGACATGTAGTTATACAATACATGCACATACAGTGGATTATATGGAAACTTGCAGAACAGTGCATCCGAAAGGAGAATTCTGTATAGAAAATATAATCAGATAGTAAAGGTAAAACAACTATACACTGACCTTGGACCCCTTCGGGCCTCTAGAGCCAGATTCCCCTGGTTCTCCCTGGAATAGGTAAAAATCAGAAAAGGAAAAGGACAGCAAATATTCATTTAAAGTGAGCAGCAGGAGAATATGGCAAGGTAGTAGACTTTACTTTCCCTACCTTTGCTGTTTGTACATGCGAACATGCTTGAAAGTGATAAAGGGTTAATACTGTGAAACAGTTCTATTAATAATACACAATGGTCATGCACGCCATCTACACCCATCGATACATAAAGAGAACAGTTCAGGAGTTATCAATGCCAAGTTTGGCTGAACCAGAGTTTTAGTAAGATTTAACAGGCTTGGTAAGTTTTAATTACCCTTTGTTTCCTTATCTCAGTTTATTGTCACGTTTTGCCCTTTTATTCTACAATATGTCTGTAATTACAGACTTTACAGTCCAATACTCATACTGACAGTAAGATAGATAGACAGGAAGAAAGACAGAGAGATACCCTGACCCTGGGTTGTATTTACCGACAACCAAAATTAATTAGTTAATTGATATATTTTTATAAAACTTAAATCACAAATATACCCCAGTACAGTGTACTCTCACTATTAAAATCAAAATGGGTTCATTTAATAATATGACAGAAGGAGGAACAGTATTAATTATATATTTTGTTTTCTGTGTCTAGACCAGCATTACCGTCACTGCACCACATGCCATTAGTAACAAGTATAGACTAGGAATAGTATTAAAGAAGAAAGCCAACACTTTTATTTGTTTTGGATAGAGTACGGAAGGATAATAACCTCTGTCTGCTTTTTTTGGCCATGATAGCCACAACAGGAAGTGAGAGGAAATCCCAAAGAGAGGGAAAAACCCGGGTAGTCAGCAGGGTCACCAAAACTAGTGTCTCCATTGCAAATAAACTATGGCAATCAACCAGGAGTCAGCATTTATTAGTTTACCAACTCTGTGTTGCTGAAAGCTGAAATCTTAGTGGTTGCTAGGTGCCAAAAAGTAACCATTACAAAGCAACCAGTGTAAGGGCAGGAGCTTAATAAACCACAGTAAAGTAAAACTGAGGGTCATCCTTTTAATAAGGCATCCTGAGGCGACAGAGGGGCAGCCACACCGTCCCAGGTTGTTAAGAGCTCTTAGAAACTTGTGATGCTCTGTCCACTTCCTGACCAGCTCACTGACAGTTTCCAGGGCCGTCCGCGGGGGG